AAGGATTGGCTCAAGGCATCTCACTGTGCTTTGATTGCGCTCTCCCATTACAATGAAGCAGGCGGGCAGGGCAGCTGGCGGAACGGCGCACATTAGCAAGGGGCGCAATTGACTGAGCTTTCAGGTGCCCAGGTGGTTTGTAGGCTGATGTTTTTCTTGACAAAAAATGCAGGTGTCCGCCCCGAAAGCACCAACCGAAGCTGTCATTTACAAGGTTCTTTAACGATGGCTCCCAGGGTAATTACTTGTTTAAAGGTATTTGTTTGAACGACGATCTTTTTGGAGTATCAGTATATCTTAAAGTCTTTTATTGTTTGACAGTTGTGCTTTGGTTTAAAGGTGGTGTTTGGCTGTTTTTGTTGCATTGGGGGGATATTCAGGCAATTTTGCTGGACACCAGTTGTTTCAATTTATGTACTTCCTTTTCGAATTAGCGACATGCGCAAAACAAGGCCAGGTATTTGGAATAGTGGCAGCTGTGAACTTCTGAACATCAGTTGGGGGAATTCTAATGGGTGAGCCTTCTTTGGTTTCCCGGCGGGGTTCATTTTCCCTTTTTGCCCAGGTTTCAGGGCACCAAACAAAGTAGGCACCTTTTTCCCAACCTCAGGTTTGCTTGGCTTGGTTTGGGCAGATTTGCAACCCAAGACCCCTATAGTGTTGGTCTCGGAGGGAACTGGGAACCACACCAATGTACTTTTGAGTCACGGTCAAAATCTGGTTTGTTCAGAGGGTCTACCCCCAAAAAAAAATCAATCTTATGGACCCTCCCCACTTTTCCACAAATTGCTTCCCCCGTTTCTTGCAACGATTTATTTGAGTCAACCACGTTTTTCTCTCTGGGTGAGACCTGCTGCTGGAGGGGCCTGGTTTCAGGCACCTCGCGTTTCCGGCATGAATGCCCCGCAACATTGCAAGGAGCAAGTTGGACACTCCATAATGAAACACCTACAAGATCAAGTGTTGCGCTTTCCCCTGGTAGGTGTTTCCTAAAGACAGAGACCCCATTTGGTTGGAGCCTAGAAAACCATCTTCCACTTCAAAGCGTTGCGAGTGGAAAAGGATCTGTTGGTTGATTTGAACTAAGAGAAGGTCTTGGGCGGGTGCCTATTGTAAAACACTCCCCCCAAATTTCATGGATAAGTCTCGAACCAAACTGAAACCAGTGGTTCGAATCTGTCTATTTTCAACACTGACAACTAAAAGGGCAACATCATTTTCCCTTCCCTAAACCCTCCTCTTCCACCGAGCAAGCCCTGAATAAACCTATGAACGGTCGTGTGTGACATTACCCTGGGTTGATAATCCTCCGTTCCAGGACATAGAACTCACAAGCAGGGAATTTTGGGGTTCCCATGTACTGATGGCCCACATGCAAGTAAACTAACAAGACTCAACCACAAAACCATGGTGAATCGCGGTAAATTAGAGAGGATTGCTGTTTCCTCGTTTTGGTTCCTGCAGTGAAGGTCCCATGGTAGGGTCGAGCCGGTCAAAATGGATTTCTCGTTTGGCTTCCCTTTGCACCCGCAACGCTTTTGCGGCCAGTTCTGCCCAGGCAGCTGTCGCAGTTCTCCTCACGGCAGCGGATGGCGTCCTGATCCACATGCAACATGCGCCGGCCCAAGTTTGACCTCGAAACAGGGTGCCGTTGTGGGTCCGTCTCAAAATAGGGGAGCCCCTGCAACTGGTGTGTTCCTTTGTTTTTCCCTGTAAGCCAACTCCAAAAAGGATACCCACAAAGCCATAAAGAGAGGACGCCCATATGTGACAATGTTTGGCTTCCCGAAAGCCACAATTGTGAGGAGACGTGTCAAAATTCCGGGAACGCTGGTTTCGCTTCTGGTGTCCGGCATTTCTGAGCCAGACCCCAGTTGAAGCTCGCCTTGATACCATGCACCCCTGGAGAACAAAGACGAGTGGTTGGCTGCACCCGGTTGCTTTTTCGAAGCTTTCTCCACCCAACGCGTGTTGTGTCTGTGCGGCGTGCAAAGTCGGGTTAGCCTCAACTAGGGAAACTGGAGAACTTTGCTCTGCGTCTCTTGTCACCTGGCGGTTCCCAGCCATACCCTTAGACTTTTAGCGGTTTAGAGTTTGGAGGGATTTATCACACGTCCCACTACGAGTTTAGCTTTTAGCAAGGGGTCAACAAACCACCAAGATCGAATAGATGGACTTTTTGCAGGGGGCCAGCCACCAGGCTACTTCGCAAGCCCGCGAGCCAGGGTTGTGGGAAGGTGTCACGAACAATCTTCCCTATGCAGAAGTGCAATGGCCACACAAAAGCTTGATGGCTCTTACCCCCTGCCCACAAAGTGTGGAAATTCTTTTTGCAGGTTGGGATGTTCAAAAGCCAAGGTTTTCTCCATGCCTCCTCCTTTCGCCAGGGGTTGGCATCAATGGCATTTGCGCACACCACGCCAAAACAAGCGTGCTCAAAGAAGGATCAGACCCACATAATGAGGAATGCCCTCCAACATGGCTGGTGGACACAACTCCCCGATTTCGGATGTCCACAGGGTCCGGGACAGATCGAAATTCACTCCCAGGTTCCAGGCTGATGTGTCCGACACAAAAAAGAAACCACCAACCACCCATTTACCCCGCCGAGGCCACGGGCGGCTTCAGCTTCGGGGACCCCAAGTGCCCCTGCGTGGGCATGGCCGGCTTGGAGGGCAAGACCACTGTGCTCCTCAGCTCTCATGCCAGGGGTGCGGAGTCAAAGTCCGAGTAGCACAGCCCCAGAACCGCAGAACCACGAATTTCATAAGCAGAACAACTAATTCTGCGGGAAAAATGATGGGGACACACAAGAATATGGTGAGCTTAGGTGGTGAATTACGGGTTCCTTGTTCCCTACTTGCGATATGGCAGGTGTATCGGCAGAAGCTTACGCGTGGTTTTTGTGTGGAGAGGGGTCCGTCAGTACGGGGCCCGAGTCTGGCCAAGAGAGCGACATTGGGATGGATCCCCGTCTAGGTGGAACTATGTGGAATTCGTGAGCTGGGAGGACCATGGATAGTTTCACCTAGTTGCCATGATGGCTTGTAATTTATATTTGTGTATAAACATCACGCAGCCGTTGTTCTGATTCTGACTGACACCAAAGCTAAAGTTTCAACTCCTTGTGGTCTGGTGGCCAAGGGGGCTGCTGTCAACTGTGAAAAGGGGCTATGGCGCAATGGCAGCGCATCCGCCGCCGAGTCTGCGGAAGGTCGTAGGTTCCAGTCCTACTAGTCCTACTTACTCTTTTCTCAAAAGCTCGCCGAGTTTCATGCAAACTGACTTGCGAGTATTGATCTATTTTGCCGCCTCCTTCTTTGGGGTATTTGGCTGTGGGTAAAAAATAGGACAAACCTGCGGTCCAACTGCTTTTACATGGGATGATCATTGGGGGAAACCACTAAAACGAGATGATACTTCATATTTCAACCTCCTTTGGGCCCATGATCAAAACTGGGGCCTCAAACGGAATATTGAGATCAATTTCCAGGTCGATTGAACGTTTTCCACGACCCAGTAGCACCTCTCCCTTTGATTATTTCGGGTTGGATGAGGGGGGTGGGTGCCCCCTTTTAGTGGGGGTCCACCCCTCATAGAACGGGTTCGACTTTGAGCGGTCATGACCGTAATATGGGGGGGACCGCAGGTTTTAGTCCTTGTTCCCCCTGGCTGGGTCCATGGATAGGGACAGGATTTCCTCCATGGATCCCTTTCGGAAAAGAAAAAAACAACCTCCGAGGCGATGGTTTCAAGGAAACCCGCCAGTCCATTGATCAACTCTTGATGGGAAATCCAGTCACCCCAAAAGTCGCAGGTTTACATGCCAACCACCTCTGAATTGATCAACCTTTGGGGAAATCCAGTCGCGGGAGGCGATCGGTCTCCCCCAGCCTTTTCGCGCCCGCGCCGCGCCAGCGAGGCGCCTGTCGCCCAACGTCACCGCGGAGTACCCGGCGGACTTTGCGGCCCGCTGCGCGGCCTGGGACGACGCCCGGAACTCCCTGAGCTGCCTGGAGGGTCAGGCGCGTCTGGCCGGGATCCGTTTTTGCCGAAGCCGTTCAAACGAAGCTGACATAAAGGGAAGTATCAGCTTCTGGGAGTACCCTCTGGCTAAATGGTACATAAGTTTACCAACTATTCATGTTGAAAGCCAAATTTACCCATATGCGTTGGTAAATTTACATTCATTTACAGAAACCCAGATGGCTCAAAGGGGAGTAGGTGGTTTGATGTATTTGTTTCCGCTCACCGGATCCAAAGGTTAGGCTCACCGCTTGACGCCAGGAGCCTGGCAAAGGCAAGGGCTTCTGCGCAGAGCCCTGGTGCTTCGTGGACCCCTGCAACTCGACTTCGGCACGCCTCCCAAATCTTCGGCTGTTTCATGGCCGATCTTCGGTGTCAAAGTCCTTTTCGACACAAATGACATGTCCAATTAAGCCCATGAAAGTCTAAACGTTTTGAGGGCTTGACACGCTGTGTCCGAGTCCTGGTAGCTTCCCAAGGCTTGTTCGTTAAAGGCAGAACGTCGGAAACCCGAGCTCCTTGTCCGGCTCCCTTCCAACCACCTGATCTTCCATAGACTCATAGACAAAGCCGGTGTTTCAACAGACATGACTTTTGGCGTTTGGATCTCCTTCATGTTCCGTTCCAAGTAGCACACACTTCCTTTCGTTGACTTTTGGTGTCCTTCAATTTCCCCCACAAACCTGGAAACAGACTCTGAACATGTGTTGTTTAATCATAGTTCATTTGTGCGCGCCTTTCTTGTGGGCCAAGAAACAGTCGTCACTTTCCCGTAAAATACTGTCATGTATAAATGGGGTCCCTGCTCAGACGGTTACAACGTCACTCTTGGTTGCCCCTAGATGTTTAAGTTTTTTCAGGGGCCGGACTAGAGGTTGCCCGGCAATTTCCAGCACCCCCTTGGCGGTTCCCTTCTGTACCCTGAGTTTAGAGTGTATCACATATCCCACGAAACGGTCTTCTCACTTTTCAGGGATCGAGGAACAAGTCACCTTGGGGCAGACACATAGGGAGCGCGAGATGAGGCAACTGCGAGCTGGACGAACCCGCCACCAAGGCCCCCCCGACGGGGTACCTGCCCGAAGGCCGGACGTTCGGTCGATTGAGAACTCGCCTTCGAAGGTAACCTTCATTCCTTGCCTTTCACAAACGGGTGTGTGACGTGTGTTTTTTTGGTGTAGGGTTCGGAAAACCCATCATTTTCCCCCTTTTTGGAACCTCGGGCAGCTTCCATGAAAACCACGTTTGAGTTGCAACCTTTGGAGGGGAAATCCGGTGGACTCACGTCGACCTCGGAGTCAGAACCTCTGGATGAGGCTGGTGTTTCCCAAAGCCTCCCCCATTTCTCTGGGGTTATTGAGTACAGGTTTCCATGAACGGAGCTTTAATTGGGAGGAGCCGGGACAGGTTGGGTGAGTTGCACTTCGATGTGTGGCCGAGTTTGTTTTTTTCTCCGAGGGTCGTATTTTTTTGACTGTCTCTCGTTGAACGTCGGAAGCGGGGGGGTGCCCCTTCATCTTCAACCACCAAAGGAGTAAAAGTCAAAATGGGCTCCAGGTACCTCCCCACATTCCGTTTTGTGAATTCTAGCAAGATTCCCAAAAGCTAAGGGACTTTGTCACCCGGTGACCCCTGCTTTGCACTTTGTTTGGACTTTGTTTTTGTTTTTGGACTTTGTTTTGGCTTTGCGTGGCTTTACGTGACCCCCGGCCCTTGTTGGAGGGGGACCCGCGCCAAAATGTTTCCCCAAGGCTCCTACCAGGGCCACGGGCTCTGGTACTCCTACAAGACCTGCGGCGGCAAGGTGGGAATAGCGGCCGGGGCGGGCTGGCGGGCTGGCGGGGAGGCTGCGGGATGTTGCTAGAGAACCAACTCCTGCCGCTACTGTCCACTGAAACCGTCATTGGAAGCTGAACATCGGGGGCTTGGGCTGAATGGGAGCTACCCTCCCACCTCACCTCTTGAGCTGAGTCGAACCTTCCTTGCAATGTTGACCCCGGATTAGTTAACCCCGGTTTATTAATATGGGGGTGTCCCTGGTTTTAGTGGGGATTTATCACTCTTGGAGGGGAACACCATGGGGCTACGAAAGTGCGAGACGGGGCCGCAGGACTTCTGGATGTCCGAGGATGCCAAGAAGAAGCAGCAGGGCGAGCCCAAGGAGTGCAAGAAGAAGGCCGTCGAAGACATGAGCTGACTGCTTGGAAGGTTCAAAGCCTGGGTGGCCAAACGAAAACCAAGGAGAAGCCTCCACCAGAAAGCCAGCCTGACGCCAACCCCAAAGCAGCCCTAAGCTACTCCTACTTCAGCCCATATCGGACCCACGACACAGCTGTCCCACATACATCTTGTATGCTCCATTGGCTGGTGCCCAGTTATAGGAGCACACCCGGCAAATCGAGCAACGCCGCGTCGAGGGGTCCCGCAAAAGGAGATTCCTGTTCCCTTCCGTGGGTGTGTCTCAGAGGGTACCCTTGTGAAAAATCCGCACTTGCAGGAGAGTGTATGGTTGGCATCAAAAGGCGATCCCAGTTGCGGACCTTTGCATTTCCAGAAATGTGGGTGTTTGTTTGTCGTGTTGGTGCCCCAATACCGATGTGTTTAGGGTATGAGGCCAACGCCTGTTTCAAAAAGGGTCGGGTCGCGGCAGGGTTCTGCCGACCACCTGTAGAACGCTCACTGTATGAGTTGCTGGACTTTAAGCTTTTTGTGAAGACACTTTTAGCCGTAAATATAAAGTTTGGACCTTATCTTGACCAATCCTCTCCGCAAGTCCACTACAACATAATATGTCAAGGCTACTTGTTGTTTCAACAACCACCAGGTCAGCATTGCGTTCTAAACTCACCCTGGTTGAGCTTTCAGAATCGGGAAACCAAGGGGGCTCCTTTTTTTTCAACCCACCGGGCGGTTGATTCCGTTGAGTCGATGGCACAACTCTGATGGTCAAACCAACATGCTTTGGACTTGGTTTTGCCGGTGTTTTTTTGCAGGGTACCGCTTTTTTCTATGGTCTTGAAGGGAAACTGAAAGGAACCCACCCTTTTTGGGGGGTCCCCAAAAAGCGCACGCCACAATCAACACCCGGGTAGATGCAGGTTCAGGGCCAATCCCAGCCATACCCCGGTTTTCACCATGACCTTTTTGTGGTTTGTCTTTTCGGGCATTGGGGCGTGTCAGGTGGACACCAAGAAGTGGGGCAACGAGAAGTGCCGATGCATCGGGCTCGACAACGTGCCCGGCGCGGCCAACGTCTCCATCGCGGGCAAGGAGCCAGCGGCTTTCGCGGGCTGGGCGTGGCGCAGCGCGGCGCGTCTCGTCTTTTGGAGCGTCGCCTTCTTCTGGGTTTAAAGGGTCCCTCTTTAAAAAGGGCCCTGTGTGTCGCCTTCTGCTGCGTTGTGTATATATATATATATATATATTGAAAAAAAGGAAAACCCAAAGGGTTCTCCAAATTGTTCAAGACACGCTCAGATGACTTCATCTCAGTTTCGTGACGGTCGACTTTGGGGTTGGACCGGTTTGGTGGCAAAAAGATTGAACTTTGTTTGACCACACAGGAAAGGAGGGTATTACAGAAAGGTGATTTCTCAAACATGGAAGGCTGGGTCAAACTAACTCCAGAAGAGCCTTGCTTCCAATCGACGAATGGGCAACGGGGCGCATTGTCCGCTTGGTTTTAAAGGATGGGAATTAGTATTTGGTGGCATCAGCAAATAGAAGCTTGCTTGTTGGAGGATTTCATAAACCCTTACAGGGGTCTTGAATAGTCATCAGGTAAGCCGCAAGTGGAAATGGGCGCCCTGGAGAACATGCATCGCAGTTGGAGTTGGCCATGCGTTCGCCCCTACACATGGCAGGCGTTTAACAGTTCCGGTCATATCCTTCATAGGGGAAACCACCGAACACCCAAACCAATTCACCGAACAAGAGGCTGCCAAGCTCCTAATGACAACAGGAGCGGGGGTCTCTAGTTTTCAAGCCATGCCACTTTTAGTCAGCGGGACACGAATCCGCCTGGACGCCAATTTGTTGAACGGGTAATGACTCGTGGAAAGAGCGTAGGGGTATGGGCCGTATGGGTCAAAAAAAATTGCCGCCGGACCGCAGGTGGTCCTTTCCGGAAGTCCTCTGGCTCCGAGCCTTGTAGTTCAGCTGTTCGGTTCTCGTTCAAAAACAAAAAGCAAGCGGGCTGCAACCCAACAAGAATGAGGAGAACCAAAACAGATCAAAAGGTTCTCTTCAGTTGTTTCTCTTAAACAGTTTGGCAGAAACACATTGGGCTTTCCTGCTGTGGCAAATCAATCTGCGGGCAGTAGGGAGAGTCATGCTCGCGAAGGAGGTGCCGTATCCCGCCGATGCTGGCGCCACGTGCGACATTTGGGACGCCAAGCGGCACCCCGATTGCACCGGGGACAAGCCTCCTGAGTGGTGCAAGCAGGCGAGGACAAGAAAAGGCTTTGGTTCGGTGTGCATCATGGTATTGTTGTGGTTGTTTCTCGGTTGCTGGCTAGTTCACTCATAATTTTGCTAACTTGTGGTTGGTTTTGCTTGGGCCTATTTATTTATTCCGGTTGTTCCAGTTGTGGCTCCGAAATGTTCAAGCATTGCCAGACAGGTAGCTGCCCTTGTTGGTGCGTCCTCTTGCAATGGGAGGCTTGGTGCTACGTGGACCCCTGCGAGTGCCAGTTGGAGGAGACCCCCAAGACGTCCTCCTACCTGCCCAAGGGCTTCGGTAACGGGCCGCGCGGATGCAGTTGGAGCGACTTTTCTTCAGCTCACCCCTTGACTTGACTTGGTGCTGGTTTCCCTCCCTTCCACTAAACCAGCGCCTGACAAAGCGTGCCTTTGCTTCCAGGTACTTCCCACGGGTGCCATGTTTGCGGGATGGAGGTGCTTCTCCTGGTTTATCCACAAAGAACCAAGGGGGTGACTCCTCAGCAAGTATGTGAACCGGCTGAATAACCTCTGGTTTGATGTTGATTGGGGGGATCCAGATGACTTTTGAGGGACCTCCCCGCATAATCCAAGTTGTTGAATGCAGGGTCTCCGATGCCATGCGACCCTTCGCCAATTCCCGACGCCCCTTCCGTGTGTTTTTGTCTCTGTTCCTCTTTGGGTGTCCCCATCACCCTGCAAGTGGATCACTTTGTCGTGAAAAAGACCAATGCCAACTGCTCATGTGGGTTGCTTGGTGTGGAGCTTGGGAGGATTCGAGCAGTATATACCTTTGACACAAGTTGTATGTTTCACTTCCACAGCTCCAGCCTGAACAGGTTTTTTGAGAGCACTCTGCCCGGTTGTTGCAGCATTTTTGGCCAACCCCTTATTGAGCGCTTATTGAGGGCAGGATCAAACTGGTTTTAAGGCCCTAGCACGCAGCGAGAATGGAGCAGCTGCTAAGGCCTTATCAATTCGTGCCTCAATGGCCTTCAACTTGGGGGGATCTGTTTGGGGGGGGGGCGGGGGCAATAGTTTTCATGAAACTTGCATCCTTGTGTGTGTTTTTTGTTGTATATGAGCTCCACACCTCGAAGCAAGCCACCTGGAAATGACGCGGGATGCTTTTCTCTCGGGCCATCGGGCGAAGGAAGCCGGTGTACTTCTCCTATGCCGCCTGCGGAGCTGATGACGCGTGCCGCGGCAAGTGAATGGACCATGGGTCTGCCAGCTGATGGGCTCTGGGCTAAAACGAGCTGGCTATGAATCCGTAGATGGGTTGTGTGACATAGGCACTAGGGCAATCTGCGATATCAAGCGAACCCCGCACAGAGACAATCTTGTCGCTGGACTTGTCCATGGTTGTTCATGTGCATGGGCCTTGCAGTGGAAAGCAACGGCTTGAGTGATCCGGGCAAGTTCAACAGCTCACCGATCCGGGGGTAAGCCAAGCGTAAGCCCATGAAACGGGTAGTGAAGCTCTCGCTCACTTCCCAAGCTTTGTGTACCCACGGTTTGGACAACAGGTTGAGCCAAACTGTTGGCAGATCGGAGTGGACTTTGGGCTTGGCGCGACCCCTCTTCCATGGACATCCCCGGTTCCAGGTCTTGGGCACGAGCGTTTCCACGGCCCGGTTTCGACCTCGGAGGTTCACCAAGAGCAACCCCACGGCCTGCGTGAACCAGAAGAGCTCCGGCAACTGCACCAAGCTGGAGAAGTGCGCCTGGGCAGAGGAGAAGTGCGTGGGCAAGGACGGAGCCGGGTTCAGCGGTGCCGGGAGACGTTTGGCAGGTTTCGAAAGATGCTCTTGGAAATATGGTCTTGCGGGCAAACCCAGAACACCCAACCGGTTTGTGCGTTCCCCTCACACATTTTAGGGTATGGTTTGTAAAAGCATGTTGTCCATTGCAAATACCTCCTTTTGTAGTCTAGGTTCGCATCTACCCTCAAGCAAAGATGGTATTGGGTGTAGGGAGGGAACCCTTTCAAATAGGCGTTTTCCCAGCAACCCGAAATCCCTCAAAAAGCGACATACCCATTTTGCCTGTTTTCAGAATTGGGGTTTTAGGGTTTGGGCCCAAGGAAGAGGACAAACGGCCACGGCTATGCGCGGGTGCACATAAGGAAGGCGCGCGCATCGGCATCATTTCATGCTCTGCACCGGTATTGTCAAGTTGTTTTAAGCAGAGGCTTGGATTCAGGTACGCCTTTGTTGGGAGATTTGAACCCCTTTTGAATCGCGGGGAAGCTTCTGGGTCGATAAGCACTGTCAAGGTATTTGCAATAATCGGGAAAAGCTAATCTGGAACAGAATCTCAGTACCTTTTGAAACTAAATGGGGAAGGTACCCAATTTGAACGTCCAAACCAAACAAACCATCGCTTCGGGGTAAGGTGATTCTCATGTACAGAGAAGCCGCTCGAGCTGCGGCAGGAGCTGGTGGAGGTGTGCGGCGGCGCTGGCCGCGCCGCGGCGTCGCTTCTGGCGCTGCTCGCCCTCTCCGCGCTCGCGTGAGCCAAACGCCGGGCCCCCCGGCGACGGGAAGCGGAGGCCAAGCCCAGGTTCTTTGTACCTGTCCAGTCAAGGGATCAGAAAGCGAGGTCCAGAAACTTGGGGAAGCGTACCCGCCAAAACCAATGGAAGTGGACATGGAGCTTCCCGAAAAAAGGTTGTTTTGCGGAAGCCGATCGTCAGCTGAGCAATAGTTGTAGACACAGATGTGTCAAAATAGGGATTTGGACCCTCAAAGTTGCCGTCTCTTGGGTGGGCTTCGAACCCGCACAGAGAAATGCACACCGCATGTGTTTGTTTCCAGCCACGGTTGAACAATGTTTGAATCGTAGTTTAAACATGTCTAACGTTGTTGGCCCTCTGCGTGGTGGCCAAAGCCACTTTGATATGGATTTCAAGCTATGGACCTGGGGGCCTTTGCCTTATTGAGCCCTTGAGGCCTTGTTAGGGGCTTTGGCTTATCTCAGGCATAGGGTCGCCCAGGATTTATCCACCCTTAACTCTCAATTCGGCTAAAACCCATCCTTCGAACCGTCTATTGGAGCAAATCAATCGTAAAAATTCAATCAACATGGAATTGGGGCCTAGAATGGAGCCAAGAGATGTTACATGAGACTGTCGGGAAGGCCGCTCTCACATGTGGGTGTGTCTGCAATCTGGGGTGTTTTTTTGTTTGTTTTGTCCTTCCGTGTCCCTTTCAAGCAACCCCAAAGGGTACCCACCCCCCATATTTCGTGTCAGCAGTTTGCTTGATCCTGCAGTTCGCGGCCACCGTCCCAGGCTACATTCGACGAAAGCCACGACCATCCAAGACCTATTGCAGGAAAGGGGCGCTTTTGGACCCAAGAGGTATGGCCACATAGTTAACAGGATTCCAATCCCAGGTCACAAAAGTGTCCCTTGCCAAGATGCTGAGAAGAACCCGTGGAGTGCGCGTGTAGACGCTCACGAACAAAGACGACGCATGCCTGAAAAGCGACGTCTGTGGCGCGAGTATTGTATCCCTTCCAAAGTGGAGAGTTGGGCGTGTCTTGTTTGGACGGTAGCCCGGTTTGTGGTATGAAACCACCCATTTCAAAGGGCGCACGATTGTTGGCTTCTGTGGCCACATGGCAGTGCAGACTTCCCTCAAGCATTTGGTGGTGCTCTGGCAATCAGGATCCCTGACAAGAATGGGGACCTTGCCGCTAGAAACACCTAAATCAGCTAGGGAGTTAGCGCAAGATCAGCAGCCATCGAAGTCTCGACGCACGGCACCTTCGTAGGAGGCCCTAGAATGGTCAGGTTGAACATAGATTGTAGGTTGGTTCCAATGCTCGACCAGTGCCATCTATGGGCACTTTGCTTTTCTTGTCGGGGGGTCGGTCCCTTCCCATTGTTCTCTCCTTTTCTCCAGACCTCGCATGTGTTCTCCCAGGCCAACCAATCTCAAGGCGGCAAGCCCTGGCTTCGAGCTTTTGGGAACATGTGGATTTTCCCGGCCGACCTGCAATGGAGACTTTTGGGCAAGCCACAGAGGCGGGATTTTGGGTAAACCCCTTTTTGAATGCCAAGTGATTGCCCCATGCTCCCTTGCCCAAATCGACCTTTCAAGCTCTTGGTTTCCCCCAAGTCCATCAGTCAAGGTTCCAAGCGGTTGCCAGAGATGTTTTCCAGGTGATTTGGCTTCGGCCAACCGAAGGGTGATCGGCCGCTCGGCCGATCGCCTCGTTCGGGCAGCCGAAAGCTTTTTGAAGCCACGGCTGGACGTGCTTTTCGCAGCTTTACGGCTCGGTTGTTATGCCCCATTCGCAGCCATGTCAGTGGCTCCGGCGCATTTGGGCCAGGGTGGAGTTACATGGCCTTATTTTACTTCTAACTCTTCATCGCTGTTATTATCCTTGCTTGGGTTAATATCGCCTCTCTATGTTTGGAGTATTTTGTGATTTATCTATTCTATCAATAGTTCATGACAGATGCCTCCAACACATATTTCAGGATTGAACCGTGAAATGTGTGTCCAACTGTTTAGGGAATCGGCTGAGTTAGCCAGTGCGAAACGAAGGGATGCATGCCTGTTGCAAGTGATGACCTGGAAGGTTGCGAGGAGCCATGTTGTGTTTCTGTGACGAATCAAGATTATTTGGATTGGTCCGTGGGGACATGAACCTCAGTTGCTGACAATTGAATAAGAAGATACCCCTCCTGGTAGCTCCAACAGGTCTCCAAGTCGTGCCCTTTGCTTCAGGGAGGGGTCAGCATGGGTCAGTATGGGTCAGTATGGGTCAGTATGGGTCAGTATGGGTGAGTATGGGTGAGTATGGGTCAGTATGGGTGAGTATGGGTCAGTATGGGAACGTTTGGTGGGATCGTATACATCTTTGCAACTTGACTGATATGATTGTTGGTCCAACATGGAGCCCACCAGAGATTTTCCTGTTAGAGGAAAGTGGTCTTCCAGGAGACCCCTCCCTCCCCCCCCCCTCAGATGCCATGGGCCGGGTCTCGGGACTTGCGAACCCGCCGGCCATGTCCAGAAGCGAAGTGAATCGCCGAATTTTGTCCAAAGGGTCCTGTTGAACTGAACAAAACACCTACGTGGAGGCTTGAGCAATCACCGAGAGATTCCCTAGGAAAACGTGCCCAAAATGCTTCCTTTTGGGTTCCAAACTCACGGCCGGGGACAGCCGTGCACACACACACATACTCCCCTGTAAATTGATCAACGCGCATTTGCAAGCTCCCAACAACAGATTCATTGGAAACTGGGGTGCTGTGAAGCCCTTCCCCCCAGTCCAAGTACCACAATTTGTTAGGGCATGATGTCAAACTCTGACCAAAAAGGGAACCTTAACCTGTAAACCCCTCAAAAGTGGTTGGTGGACACCACCAAAGGGACCGCTTTCACATTGCTCTGCGTGGATCTTCCTCAATGAGGAATTCCCGGGGGGGCGGGGGGGGGGGGGGAGCAATTCCTAGTTTTAAGACACGCATAGGGTAATCATGTCTGTGTTTATTGGGGACTTGCAAAAATGTTTGTGTTTCCTTTTGGTGTCCTGTAAAAACCAAATGGGGGGGTGCCCTCAAAACAGTGACACACAAGGCGCCCGGAGAATGCGGCCAGGTGATGCCAATGGCGGCCTGGAGCTCAGCCTTTTGGAGAAAAACGGGGCCAAACACTCTTAGAGGTTAGACGAAAAATAGGGCTGTGGCTCCAAAGTCAGCCAGGGATCAGGTTTTAGTCTTTGGTTTTCAATTTGCCAAGGTCACAGTTTCGGTACCATCTTGTGAGCCACAGCCATGTGGGTCTGTCTTTTTGGAGGGTACCCTTTCGGGGTCGGTTTGAAAGGAAACGAGGAACGCCACCATTCCTGGAGGTCAGAACAAAAAAATCCGAGCCACCCTTTTTCGCGGGCCAAGCTTTTCTACTAGAGCCCTTGGATAGTTAGACTGCGGCTGCGGGGGCCTTTGACACAAAATCTAATGTGTGCCGTTGGTTCCGTAACGAGGTATTGTCAACTCCGGACTTCGAAGGACTCGTGTCGTTTCTTTTTTCTTTTGGAGACCCCCCCCAAAAAAAAAACACAAAAAAATGGGGTCTTCTCGTTTTTGCTTGTGGACCCTCCACAAAACGAGACGTCCTTTTCCCTTGGTTTCCCTTTGAGCTTCCACGACAGGGGTACCACCTCCCGCAATGGAGCCGGCCCTCTTGCCGATGTCTGGGGCATCGGAGCTGAGGCTTGGAGCATCGGCCAGGCCGGCGCCCCAGTCAATCCATGTGGGGAATGTATGCCAACCTTTGATCTATTTGGAGGGTAAATGTGGGTATAGAGATTATTGTTTTTTACATGTTTGTCTTTTTATTTGTTTCAACACAAATTATATGTTGCCTATGTTGATTGCATGTCGTTGATAGCAATCAGGATCCGGTTTTGAGAAAGCAGAGACTCTGAGGACTGCTATTCTGTTTTTTGATTGCGAGTGTCCATTGCGAGTGTCCGCTTGGTTATCAAGGTTTTCCGGAAGATCCCAAAAAGACAAAACACGTCTTCCGCCTTTTGTGGCAGGTCCGAACTGTTGATTCCTTTTGATCCGGGAGTGATGAGGTCGTAGTAACCCAGCCAGGCTTCGATGGTTGCCGCCGGGGACGCGGTTTCTTGAGGTAAAGTGTCACTAGGGCTTCCACTGCCTCAAATATGGGGTTCTCGAATATTTGGATTGTTCTCGAGCTCGTGTAATCCCTCCACTTGTTTGTAACTTGTTGGATCTTGAAGGGTACTCCACTTCACACATGGGCAACAATCCCTTAGGACATGAACCCCTGATTGTGGCCCCACATCTCCACATTTGTGCTAACTGCTTCCGTTGGGTATGCGAGTTGCTTGTTACTCACCGGCAAATAGCTCGAAGGCTTTACGAAACCTGTGTCCCTCTCCCAAAAGGCAACGTTGCTCGCAGCCGTCGCGCTTGCCCACGGTTCGGATTTTTTTTGGTTGCTGGTGGTTTTGAACGTCACCTTTTGGGCGTTTCCTTGTGGGGGGGATGTTTAAAGGGAAATCTGGGTTAGTGTGCTTTTTGAGGGTGCCACTTTTGGGCTACAGGAATAGTACAGGAAAACCATGTTCAGACTAGACCAACCCATAGCACGTCTCAAAATAGACCCCCCAACAACCATGAAACTCAGGTTTACTTTTGGTTTCCCAAGCCGCCAAAAGAGAAGGCAGCCTGTCCAAGCATGGAACCGAAGCCACCAGGTCTGGGCCAATGGGCAGGCGCGAAACCCGCATGGGATCCCTCACTTAAGTGAGCGCGCTAGGGGTCCACATGGTTTGCCCAAACAAGCAAAGGGGCTCCCCAAAAGGAGGTCCCTCCAATGGTGGATTTTGGGGTTCCATGTGAATCTGGGGAGAAAAATGGCACTCGAAGGGCTCCGACTTGCGCAACGGACTGATCAGGCTTCCATTCTTTTTTCCTAAGAACCCTTGGGGTTGATTGCCTATTCTTCAAGATGGAACCAAACCCTGACTTTCTTCCAAGGGCTCTCAAAGCCCGCCAAAGCCTGAAACATCCTGATGGAGGCTGGCAAACGTTTGGTTCCCAAAAGCCAGTCTTTTGTTCATACACAACTTGAATAGTGGCTGGACATGAATCGCCAGCTAAATGATGTCCACCAAAGGGTCCCCTACTTAAATTTCATCAAACGGCCTTGACTGTTTTGGGGTCGTTGCGTTTAAGCACCCAGGGGCTCGAGGTTCTCATGGGAGGATATTGGAGGTTTGCATTTGTATATCAGCTGGTCCAAGGTTGGCCCGTACAAATGGCGCACGTCGAAGCGAAGATCTGCCAGGTGTCTCCGTCCTCGCCCCGGCTGCCCGGAAGCCCAGGCCGAAAGACGGACACTGGGCTGCTGTTTTTTTGTCTAGAACCATGCCTTAGTAGAAGGATTGCCCTTTTTGGAAGTCTGGAAAACACCGCAACAATGTTGGGGAGTAAGGAAAGAACAACTCACTGGGAACCCAGGAAAAAGCCCCTAGTTGATGAATGGGGTGTCAACCCTTTCCATGACCCCCCACACCTCTCGTGCCTCTCGTGGATCCACCCTGTCCTTGGTCACGTTGGTTGAGCATAGGGTGCAAAACAGGCGATTCTCAAAAAATGGGTTTGCGTTTTTCCTCTTGGTTTGCGAATGTAAAAGCAACCGCAAAGAGGGTACTCTCAAAACAGGACACCAGATCGGCACAGGCAATGGTTTGCTTGCTATGCGCGAAACATAGTTGTCGAATTTCCAGGGGCTTGTCAGCGCCTGTCAACGCGTGATGTACGCTGTGGATGCCAAAAGATGCAAGAGGAGAACAAGGGACACCCTGCAGATCCCCGTGCCTTGTGGTTGATTTACTTGCAATAAGGGCATCCACCGTGTGGTATTTTACCGTGCCAGTCGCTGAGGCTGCCCTCCGGAATGGTGAATGGAGCAGCCGGCAAGGCGTGACGGCCGGCAAGTGGCCGTGAATTTTGAGAGGAGCCTGAAAGTAGTCGGACATGAATCTCCACTATATCTCCATGTCTGAAGGGGTCACAACCACACGGGTGCCTTTGGAGTTGGGTTTCACACGCAAAATTTCGACCCGGTTCGGAGGCTCGGCGTAACGGATGGGCTTTTAGGTTGGACTTCCCTTTGGACTTCTCATTGCATTTCCCAGTTTTTGCCTTTGGTTTCTCCAGTTTCCTTGTCAAGCAACTGGAATTCGGGGGATGTAGGCAGCCATTGCCAGGGTAGAGGCGGTGGCCCGGACAGCCAATGTCAGGGATCTCAAAAAACGACCGGTTTGACGTTTGGTTTCCTTTAAAGCCCCGAACAGGGCCCGTTGTTTGAGCAGTTGGTAGCCCAAAAAAGCGTTTCGGCTATTTGCAGTGCTTGCAGGTCCGGCCACGTTAACTGCTTCCCAGGTGAGAACCCTGCAGCAAGATCTCCTTTCAAGCGGAATCACCAGTATTCTTGGGATACCGGTACCAACCAGGAGGTTTTCCACCCGTCGCCTGTTTGCCCCAAGCGTTTCCCTCCAACTCTTCAGGACATGGAACCCAAGAAGCCACCAGAAGCAACTCCCAACATGCAGGACTTCTGTGTATAGTGTTGGGCTGGGGATTTGGTTTCGCCTTTTCAACCAAACTAACCTGACTGCAGTGGATTGGATCCGCCGGTTTCTAGAGTGAAAATCCACTGGGCCAAATTTGGATTCGCGGCGCCCGAATTTGCCGTCAGGTGGCCCGGGCAGCCAGCTCGAGTGAAGGCAGAATCGAAGTCGAAAAGGGGCCCTCCAGAAGCTTGCTTGCGGGTCGACATGTGTGTTTCTTTTAGGATCCTTCGAGTTGCAACGAAGAGCCCAAAGGAAAAAAACCATTTCTGGTTGGGGCCCTAAGAACAAGAGACACACCTGTTCTGGCAACCCTTGGTTGGTTTGGATTGGGATTTGAACTGGTTCTTGTTGAGGGCAAAAGGGGTTTCGCACCCCCGTTCTCCTGGGGTGTGTCCCAGATCAGGAGTAAGGGGTATATGTGTTTTGTTTTTTCTGGGGTATCCTGCGAAACTATTGTATGTTTTTCGGGTAGACTCGATAAATTAGGAGAGAGAATCTGAACATTTTGTGTTCTGTGTGCCGCATATGCGGGCCAAGCTAAATCTTTGCCCCTGTCAAAACTGATGAACCATGAAGACATGTAAATCTTAGGTTGCGGAAGTGTGACCCATTTCGTAGAAAACATGGGGACCCCAATGTTTCTTCTTAAGTTCAGGTTGGAAGCGACCGTGTTTTTGGGTTCGAGCCCCATCTTTTCAAATGGGGCGTACGTCACCACCCACTGCGCGTGGTTGCCTGGGCCATGCCCAAACTGGGACTTCTGAACATGGTACATCTCCAGGTCCCGGGCCCCATGATGATTGGTCCCCTTTTGTTGTTTTTTCTTCTTCAGGGTGGTGAATTTTGGTGGGTTGCTCAACAGGCCACAATGGTTCGTTGCGAACAGGGACGGAGAATTGTTCAGAACCCTTGTTTAACGCCCAGATAGTAGTTTGCGCGCATTTTTGTGGCGCTTCCGGATTGCACAGCAACTCCTTGTGCCGAACACGGTTCATCCTTCGGCAGGTATGGTAATTGTAATTGTCAATGCCCGATGCCAAGTATCAGTTGATGGACGCTTTTTTCAGCGATGCCCGGGCCAGTTTCTCCGGTTCCTTGACTGCCAGAATCATAGCTGGCCTTCTGGGAAAAAATAGATGGTCCAATGGGGGCTAAACCAGTGGGTTCCATACTTCTAGCAAAAGGACATCTATGGCCAGAATGCTCAAGGCTCAAGTAGCCCCCCTGGGAGCGCCATGCTTCGGGACAAGCAAGAGGTCCAAGATACAAAGCACGCCCTGCGAACGTATTTCTTGGGGCGCATCCAAGCCGTTCTCAAAAAACAAGAGAAGCCGGAAGTAGCCCTTCGCAACGGGCCATATCGCAAGCCAGGTGCCGGGCGCCCACCCAATTTGCTGCGGAAACAGTTGTCATACCCATCTCCTTGTTTTAGGGCATGAGGCTTACCTAAAAAGGGAGGTAAATCAAACACGGAACGCCAGTTTTCCAACATGCGAAGGCTTCTCCAAGCGGGTCGTGAGCAAGTGTTACAGATGTATCACTTGCTCCAAGCCTAGGCGCAGACCGGGACTGACACTCCAACTGGTGAATCGTTTTACCAAGTTGAGTTCAGTCAGGTCGTTTTAATTTGAAATGCGTGGGCGCAGGTATGAGAAGTCCCATCAACATGGGCATGCACAGGCACGGTTTGCGTGGTGCTCCCGCGCCGGGTCGGTGTGACAGGTTTCTGTCAAGTGGATCGGTTCCTCTATGCTCCTGTTTTCGCTTGGCTGGCATTCTAGCGCCTTCGGAGCACCCCTCCTTTGGCCTCCAACCTTTTACCATCAGAGGAGGTCCCTGGAGGAAATGGTCACCCGAGGGGAAAAACCGTTTTCAGAAGCCCAAACCTGGGCCCCAGGTTCATACCGATTCCCATGGCCATAGCAGGTTCTTCCCCGAGCTTGAATACAGACTGAGTAACTGACCTGATATGGCCTCTATAAACCTCTATGGGGATGTCTTTTTTGAGGGTACCCTGTTTTGGTGGTAGAAGAAAACAAAACAAAGCACCATTGCGCCAATTGGGGGTCTCCGCAAAGAAGACACACCCGTACAACCGTCAAATGTCACACAAGTCCAGTCCAGTGAAAGCTTCGCGCTGCTCTTTGCGCAGGCGATGTTGGCCTAACAGATTGCGCAGTTACTGACGTGCAGTCATGCCAGCGCCCAAACTGTGCAAGCAAAATGTATCTTCTCAAAATGTTCTGGCAATTGGTCCCTGACGGCGCATATCGAAATCAGCGACCTTTTTAAGTTTGAACCAAGCTGCTGCTGCCTATTGCATTAGCGTTTTTGTAACATGGCTGAATGGACGCAGTGTGCGTGGTCGACGAAAAGCGAGTGACTGGACATGTGGCTTTAACAGAAATTGATCTTGTGAGTCTTCTTGTGCAACCTTAGTCACTAAGCCTTAGTCAGGCATGCAGCCCCGAAACAATGACCCACACTCCCTTGACAAAGGCGGACATGCCTCAAGCAAAGGCGGCAATTCCTGGACAACATGCGCAATGCCTCCCAGCAAGGCTAAAGGGTGAGCAGCCAGATTCCTGAGAAATGTACGCATAAACGACACCATTTCACTTTGGCATCTGCGGTTGCTACACGTCGACTTGACCAATACAGCATGTTTTAGAGGAAGCGAGGTTTTGCAAGCAACAAGGTCAAGAACATTTCCTGGCAACAAATGCGTTGTTTCCAGAAAGCGACTCCTTGTAGTGCGAATTGGAGCCAAGGCGTGTTTTTGCATTGTTGGCTGTTTCAGGTATGAGTGTGTGTGTGTGTGATAGGGGCACGCCCAGAATGGTGATGTCCCTTTTGGTTTCCCTTAAAGCAACCTGTGAAACAGCCTGGAAAGGGTATGAGCCGGCTTACATGCTGCCTCACTTGGGTAAATTGCGCAGGCAGTTCTTCCTGTTTGACTGGGTGCTTGAGTGCTCATGTCTGCTGCCCTTGGTCAGCTCAGTTTCAACTAGAACGGTGGGCCAGGCACAAGTGCGCTGAGATGGTGGTCCCAATGCCTGTGATCGGAACGATTGTTTTTGGGGGACATTCTCTCCGGGCTGATGCTGGTGGCCCAAATTCTTTCTGAATCGTTTCAGCTCATGATGTTCGCCACGCGGGTTGGATCTCCGGGGTAAATTCCGATAGGATTTACCCTACATGCAGCCCGCATCAAGGGCGTGTGTATTCTTTGGAGTTGAGAGCCACGAATTAACTGGGTGTGTGTGATTTTGAGGGTAGCCTTTTTCGAGGTGGTAAACCCAGAGGGAAACCCAGAGGACACCCCACCTTTTTGGGGGTCCACATCCCTATTTTGACCTATACTCAAGTCGGTCGATCCAGACAGCGGATGGATTGCTCCACGCACCGCACTGCGCGTCCCGGGTTTTGGCCGTGCTCGCAAGGCCAGTGGCAGTGGCTGGACACCCAGTGACTTTCGCGGCTGAAGGAGAACCCAAACCCGAAGCTCATCGTGAGGCCCTGATCAACCATATCATCCGACCCACTCAGAGGAACCCCCAAAAGTCATTTCCTTACTAGGAGGATACCTGATTAGTGCGGTCCTCAGGGTGAATCCGAGGTTAATTTAACCCTCCGCCAATTTTGATTCCGGCCTTTTTTGCCGGGGGTTTCTTTCCAGGGAACCGATGGGGTTTGATCAGCAGGGGTCAACATTAGAGAATTAGTTAGCTCGGAAACTCAGTGTTGTTCGTTGCAAAGTACGTATCATACGTTCAAACGTGCGAGTATCACATCTAGCACACAAAAAGCGGTGTTCCACAGGCAACCCGTTTATATGGCTATTTGGAGTACACCCGTTTGTGGCTTGCAGAAGAAACAGTTCAGGGTGCTGTAACATGTTTGGATATACATCCAAATGAGCACGTTTGGAGCAGCTTGCTCGGCCCAGGCAGAACTTTTTGTCTATCAGGGATCATTGCCAGAAGATCAAAGCTGGGTTCCGTGCATTTGACCGGTGGGCAGTGGCCGTTTTCTCTCGGACAAACAATGACGATAGCGGCTCCCGGCTCAACTCTTTGCTTGCAATAGCTGGGTCGTGCCAGCAGAAAAAGCACCCCAACGTTCAGACTACAACTTTGATGCTTTTGGAGTTGTTTGTGCTTGCATCCTGAAAGGGGCTCAGTTTTGCCCAGACTCCACACTTTCAGGCGGTTTCTCTTTAAACCCAAGTTGCCAACGAAACAACGGTGCCCATTTTTTCCAGTGGAAATCAGGTCTGGGATTTGTTTGGGTCGAGGGAACTCACCAAGATGCTCGCATGCTTGCCGTATCCAGCGGGTCTCCTGGAGCCTTAAGGCCATAGGAAACCAGTCCGTCGAAATCGCACCATTGAACAGACCTGCGGCCTGCCCCTTTCTCCAATCGCTTTTGTTCAACGGCATGTTTCGAACAACGCTGCTTGATTTGGTAAATGCCTCTTTTTTTAGTCATGGGGTTGACATCACGCCCTGACAAAAAGATGGCTATTGAGTGTAGCTGGGGTCTTCTCCAAGACTACCCTATATATTGGGGTCTGAATATATCTAGGTCCCCCAGTAGTGCCCTTTTACCCTTTTTTTTTTGGGGGGGGGGTTCCCCTACCTTTATTTTCACCTCTCTACTGGAGGACCTAAAAAAAAAACAGAGCGCCACAGGCGCCGACGGCATGAACATCCGATCGAGGCCTCGGCATCCTTCTCGCCGGTGAGCTTCGCGAACCTGCCGAACGCCCCGCAGGCCACGTCTGTCGCGTGGTTTTTTTGCCGTTCCGCGGGAGCGCGCCACGAGGCAAAGTTTTGGAAATCCGTGTATTTCAGATGGGACGTTCGGATCTGAGCAGCCCCCATGGAGTTTGATGTTGGATTTGGATTGGAAAATGAACCCTCCCTTTCAGGAGGGAGTTGTCTACAAACTGTTTGGGGGCAACGCCCCCAAAGCAGAGGCGGGGTCAACACTACAGTGGGTAACCAGTGGTTTTGCCTTTGCATGATGGTTTCCCCTTGGGCCCAGGTTGTAGAGCATCGGGATTTAGGTTGCCACTGTTGCCACCTAAGGACGCTCAACCCAAAGGATCCTTCAAGGGAACCGTGACCATGCCACACATGGGAATTTTGACCATGGCCAGCGGACGTTCCTCGAAACTGGAGAAATTACGAGGTGAAGGTCCTGCGGATTCCTTATTTCAACTTATGTCCAATCTCCGAGTTATTGGAGGTTGCCACCCCACGGTGATTCATTCATTCTTCGGGGGTCCCTGGTTTTGGATTCAGATGGCATCTCCTCCCCAACTGTCCGCTATTTTGAGTAGACTAAGATAAACAAGTGCTTCCCCCACTGACCGGGTCCCGGACCAACCCCCGAAAGAAATATGCAAGCTATATGACAGCTAAGATTTACTCAGATGTTTTTGTGCCCCCCCCCAATTGTCCCCGTTTTTTTGGGGGGTCCCGAGGCGGCGGTCTGCCACGCGAGGCGCCTTTCGCGGGGAGGGCGCGGGGTTCGGAAGGGATGGGGCAGGGGGTGCAGAGCCTCGATTTTAGGGCGACTTGGCGGCGGATCGTTGGACGTTGACGTATTTTGAGGTGTGGATTTTTGCAGGACCACAAGAAGTCAAGCACTTTTTGCAGAGGGGTCGACGGCAACCAAGTTTCGGTCAAGCCGGTCAAGCAGCCGAGCAAACCACTTTTGGCTTTCCTGGCTGGGTTCAAGGGATGCGCACGTGAGCAGATGACAATTTACCCGCTCGCCAACAAGCAAATGAGCAAAATGGAGGTATCCAATCAACAGCCAGTTCCGGTTTGGACGGATCCTTTGAGTCAACTTGTTGACAGTCTACTCTGAAACACTGTTATCGCTGATTTGCAAGTGGAAAGGAGACAAAGGCTTGCTGCCAAACAACTCGCATCTTGTCGAATGCAGGTTTGGCCTTTTGACCCAAACCTGCCGACCAACAACTCAACTTGTTCCCCCGGAAGGGCACCCGTACCGCCCATTTTGTGGGGCTGGAAGTTGACATGCGCCGAATGTGCATCCCCTTTGACGATGTTGGTGTTCCTGTTCTGAGGAGTGTTGTTTGTTTTCGCTGGTTGTAGGACAAGGATCATGGCTAGCAAATGACGCAAATGGTGGTTGTTGTGGATGGCGCAGTTCCCAATCTTGGTTGGAGTCATAACCTGTAGTCACCCACAAGCAACATTGTGCCATCTACTTTCACCCTGGTCAGCCTTGGCAGGCAGGCCTGTGTGAAACGCAATTTTCAAAAACGTCTTGGCTGGTTGCGACCGGTTTTGCCCGTGATGATCCGGTTCCCGTCGCGAAGCCCCTGCGTGTCCTACTTACTCCCCTGAGTTCCTGGACATCCATATTTAAGTGGCAAGCCTATCCACTCATGAAGTGAGGCTATGACACACCTAGATTTGTTGGACAGAGCTTTCTTTGGCCTGCGGGAACGCCGCGGCATGGACCGTTCAAATGAGTTTCACAGGGGTAACATAGGGATGCCTCACGCGACCCAAACTTTTCTTCGGGGGCCATGACAAATTCGTTGAGAGCCACGCCGGAGAGTCAGAGACACCAAAGAGCCAGCTTGACTTCAAGTTGATCCATCCACATGTTGGAGCTATTTGTTGAGCCGGTGGCCTTTGGACACATACCCCGCCCGAACATCGGCACCAAAACGAAAAACTATCCTTGAAGACGCGCTTGCGCAGGGCTCCGACTGCGGGACCGGAAGAGGCCGGAACAGAGACGGAAGAATTCCGATTTCCGGGTGTTCTTTATGGGGGTGTCTAAAACCTGGTGGTTGTCCCTTGGATCCCCAAAACACCTACCCAAAAAGGATGCCCTCAAAAAAAGACACACACACACACACCTATCCCAAAATTCGACCCATTTGGAGTGGGAACCTGTTGGAGCGAGAATCATTCATGGCTTGCAAGCCATTCTCACACTTCATGTTGGCGTCTTGCAGGGATACTATCCACCGACAGCAAACGCGCGGCTGGGTTTGGCCGTCTGCCCGTTTTGGCTCCAAACCTTTTGTACTTGCGGGGGTCTGCTTAACCATCTTCTGTTTGAGTGTCGCTTTTTGAGGGTGTCGCTTTTTGGTAATTTGAAGGGAAACCACAAGGAAGACCACAGTGTTGGGTTTGTCAATTGACCCCGAAGCCAAACTCATCTTCCAACCTGGGGGCATCTTCAGCCACCATTCCCAAAATACTGAATGGATTTTGTGGGTTCCTTTGTTTGGTGGAGGGTCTCCTGTTTTGAGTTGGGAAAACCGCTCTTAAACCAGGGTCCCCCAATTTTGACACAGATGTCTGCATAATCTATGGTCATTCATTCAGCGACCGGAAATAGGGAACCAGGTCAAGTGACCAACGTCATAGTAATCTTGCTCTCGAGTCATTGAGCTCGTCTTGACTAGTGCGCAGTCCAGGCCGCCAGTGGCTACGGCAAAAAGGGCACTCTTGCTTCGGTTGAATTAAAGGGAGACCGGGAGACCCCTTCAAAAAGGTTGACAAAGGGAAGCAACCCACAGGGTGTCTGGGACAGTTTGCGCACTTGTAACAGGAGTGCCAACGTCTGTGTCTGAATGCCCACATCTCTGTTTTAACGGGCATACACATATTCAAGTCATGAATAGCTGAACACGCATCTGGCTTTTGCTCAAGGTCAAACCCAAGTGCAAGCTGACACGCTTGACAAGTCATAAAGGCGATTATTATGGTGTTATTAAAAGCCCAAACTTGCTCATTTGCTTGCTGCTTTGTGGCCAAACGGCTATCCATGCCAATTTGCTCCCGTGTTGGCCAGAATGGTCATTCGCAATATTTGTACACGCAAAAAAATACTTCACTGTTTCCTGTCATCTATCGGATGTGTCTCAAAATAGGCGGGGAGGGGCTCCACTAGCTGCTTGGGAAAACATCTGTGCTTTCTCCGGGAACTTGTGAGTTTTGAACCGAGCCCGCCGAAGGCTCCGTCCGAAGTGGCTAGGATATCTTCTGAAATGTTCACACCCAAAAGAAAACCGCATGGATATCCCTTGGCGGTTTTCCCTATCACTTGGGTTGCTCCAACCTTCCACGACGAAACCACAGCGTTAGACAATTGGCTGGGGCTCAAAAAAACGGTACCAAAATGGAACCCTGGTAGGTGGAAACATGGACCAAAACCTGCGTAACCCCTCCTGTTTAATTTTGAGCCACACCCAATTGGCATTGGGACGGGTTCTTTCGCTCGAGTCACTGTGTAAGGGCGCGAAACCCCGAGTGGCCAGTTTCGCCGGCGTTTCTCGTACCTGGTTTGCTTGAGGTCACAGCAAAGCCTATTGTAAACTTAGTCTAACCTCAAGTTGGTCGGACCCAAAGTCGCCGGGTTTTAGGCGCCGCGTTGTTTTGCTTGTCGCACCTCGGAGGCCAGAGGCTCTAGTAGCCGCCGCCTCGGAGGGTATGGGCGTTGTGGCCTGGATGTCCTTCTGGTGGGTGCCAGGGGTGGATTTGGATTCCCTAAGGTCAACTTCGGATGACTCAGGACCAAACTCCGCGGGATTCACCCTCATTTGCTTCAAAAGGGTGACTTCCCAAATGGACCATTCGGAAGTCATATTCGGTGGCCCACTTGGGGAATGACTTCAGTATCATGCTTACAAAGGGGTGGACTAGCCAAATGAGCCAATTGAAAGTGATGTTGTGAGTTGCTCACTTAGGGAATGGCATTGAATTCATGTTCAACAGTATGCACTTCTTCCCACAAGGGAGTGGGCCATTAGCAAGTCATATTGTTGGGCACTCACTCATGGAATGTCTTCAGAGTGGTACGTTAAAGGTGTGATTCCCCACAGAGGGTGACTAGCCAAATGAGCCATTCGTAAGTCATCTTAGGGGATGACTGCAAAGTGCTATCTAAAATATATGCTACTACAACAAACGGGCATTAGCTTTGTCAAGGAAGGTCTGAACAGTTTCATGTTTCTTTGTGCAGCCTAAGTTGAGGCCCCTCAAAGCTTGAGCCCAGCCCTTGAAAACCAAGGGAGCGGTTGCTTCAGAGGTATGCATTATCCATCCTGGCCCACTTCATTGGTTGATCCACTTCCCTGTTTTTTGTTTTGTTTTGTTTTTGAAAAGAAACAAGGGTCGACCAAAGCCCAAAGGCACAAAAGCCCTGAAGTCCGAGCTTTCTGAAATGCGTTTGTTTTCAGGTGTCCATGTTGCTGGAGGGCATCAGGGGTCAGTTTTGTGCCTTTGTGCTCAGGGGTCCTCACAGCAACCCTTTGTATCCCAACCTCGGAGCCCTCCCGGAACCTGCCCCAAGCGCCCCAAACCCATGGACGGATCAAACCTATAGCTGTTGCGGGAAGAAACACACACACACACAAACATTGAACAGCCAACAGGTCTGGGCGTGTTTTGGCCAATCAACCAGTTCAAAGCAGAAAGTCATCGTCCCAGAACAGCAGGCCTCAGACATGATACCAAATCGGGCAATGCCAGCCCCAGTGATTTCATATCCGTCTCTAGGTAACCAAGAGACACTTTCAAGACCAGAAGGACATTTGCTGGCTTACACAATGGTAGCTGGGATCCACTGAGTATGGCATGCGCACAAATCCCAATATCGCAGAACATGCACTCTTTGATAAACCAGCAGGGATAGACTGGACCGCAAATCCGGACCAAGACAAACCTGTTCAGCGGCAACCAAGGAAACCCATTCAAGAATCAAAGGAGACTGGTTGGCCTACCATGGCAACTGGGAATCATCGGGGATGACAAAAACAAACTTCGCACAAACTTCCCCGAAGCCTCCGAGGCGTCTCTTTGCCGGTGAAGCTCCTGCGCTGGGACAGCGCAGGCGGGCGGACTGAATCGGGAGGTTGGGCTTAAGACGGGGAGCCCGCTAAATGAGGGGTCCGTAGTTGTATTCCGTTTGAAGGAGCTAGTAAAGGGTCAAGCAAGCATGTCATTCTGAACGACATAACAACATGTGAACACAAACAGCCTTCAACTTGAAAGGATCTGTGTTTTTGTTCTTAAGGGGGTCATTCCAGCGTCACAGGCATCCCCCGTGTTGGTGCTTAAGCGGGTCAAAAGACAGGCTATCCTGGCTTGAGGAGGACGAGAAGGGGCCGAAACACGAAAGTCGAATTCCAACGCGGGGTTCTGTGATGTCAGGTATTATTTCCAGGCTTATCATTCCGAGGATGAGTTCTTCAAGTCCATGAGGTCTTGGCTCCTGAGATGCTCACTCCCTGTTGCTTTTTGGGTTTGGGGGCCATTTTAGTGGCAAAAACACGATCCAGGAAGTGACACTTTGTAGTCTTTGGCTTGCCGGTACTTGCTGGGTTTTCCGACGAGACACGTGGGAACAATCACGCTGACTCCCTTGCATTGCCTGCCCGAATATATTGTTCCATTTTCAGATTCGCCCTGGGCTGAGAATCTGGACATGTCATTTGGGTGCGGGTCCAAAAATTGGCCAAAATGAAACCCTGGCAAATGGAAGCCAGGATTAAAGCCTGCGGTCCGTTGGTGGTTTAATGTTGACCCTTGGTTGTGTGGGAAGCTGAGGAAGATCCCCGGGGCTGGCAAACCGATCCTCGGTTTCATCGGAAGCTGAGTGGTTGCGTATGGCGTTTTCTGTGAGTCATGTCTTCTAAGAGTCAGCCCGCCAACTCGGAAGCAGCTAGGAACCTCTTGATACTGCTAAGAACCTCCTGAGTTCCTGATCTTGACACTTTTTGGGTTTGGACCAGTTCAGTGGCGAGCAACATGGCAACTGGTGAGTCTTGACAGCTCTTGCACCAAGATGATAAAACACTTTCTGCTCACTTGCCAGCGAGTCGACCGGACCTGACCTTGTGTTAATGTTTCTTGTGGTCTAAAGGTTCCAAAGGGTGACAAATAGACTTTTTATCTTGTGGTCTACTTGTCATCCTATTTGTCAACCACACTGTTTATCTTTAGTTCCAGAGGGTCACCCCTTCGATTTGCTTGCCCCTTTGGGCAAGCCGGCCAATCGGAAGCGCGTCAGGTGCTGGGAGTTTGTCCACCCAGGAGGGATCCGCGCAAGAGGGAGCCTTGGGACCTGCCCAGAGCTGCAGTTTTGCGAGGGGCTTCCCTTTTGTCAAAAATCAATCCGATGAGTTGTGAAAGAAACCCTGTGGGTGTGTCTTTGTTTGAGGGTCCCTGTTGGGGCTATTTTTTGAGAGTCAGCCTATTTTAAGACCAAACCAAGATTGCCAATTCCTTGTTCCGCATGGCCACTCGGGGGTTGATGTTTGGGTCTGTTCTCATTCCAGAAGTTGTTCCAGAAACCTTGTGATCATGAAAGCAAGATGAGAGCAAGCGATTTGTCCAACCACAAGCCTGGTTTTTGAATCTCCATTTTACCTCTTGGTGTATTGGCAGCCAACAAGCGATCGGGGGTCCAAAAACAGGGGCCCCTGTTTTCACGATCGACCAATCTTGGTTTCTCATGTCTCAAGTTGCCGGACTGCCTTAGATGAAGGAAAACCATGGGAAATGTAGAACACATCTCCCTTCTGCACTCATGGCAGTGTCCAATGGACTAAATGACTTCCCTTTGGGGCCTTTGCCATCGACTTTGTGTTTGGGCTTTATGGTTTTTTGCGGCGTACACCATGCCCGCAAACAAACGGTTTGGACCTCGCGCAGTGGGTGTACGACTGATTTCATGGGGGTTCTGGGGGGGAGGGGGGTCCATGTCGGATTTTGAGGAAAGGTCTGAATTCTGTAGAGAATGCGCCCCAACACCAATTAACCAATATTAGTAGGGCACTCTACGTTTGGATTTCATGGGGATTATAGCCAATGCCACTTTCTTGTTTACGGACATGTTGGTTGTTGTGGGCGCTGCTCAGTTGGGGACACAACGAAACACCCCCGTAATCACAAATTCCTAGCTTATTTTTGGCGTGCACTGTGCGTGTTTTCTGTCATCCCCTGACGAAAAAAGGAGCTTTTACCATTGAGGCCAGGTTTTTTCAAAATATTCCAACTGCAAATGTGGCCTTGGAGCTGTAGGGGGACTCCTACCCACACCTCCAGCTGTCTTCCGGTATCAAGCACCGCAATAAAAGGGGGGGTGGCCCTTTGTAAATCTACTGGTTTCGACCTGCCTTGGCTTGCAGCCTACTGCGGCTTCATGGTCTAGTTTGTGTGCGATCATAGGTGTGTGTGTGTGTCAAAACGGGACCCCCCAAAAATGGTGATTGCCCTTTGGTGTCGCTTGAATACAAAACCTGAAAAGGGTACCCTCAACACACCCATGCACATTTCTACAGCATGATCAGCGGTGAATTCGCTCAGTACCTGCCCACCACTCCAAATACTGCCCTTTTTGCGTAGTATACAGGAAAAGGACTGGCTTTTCAAGGTAATTGCCTCCTTCTTCAGTCCAGAAGTTGACATCATACCCAACAAATTGGTCGGTACTGAGAGCAAGGGGTATTTGCAAAAAGGAAGATCCGACTTGTCTTTAAATTGTCAGGCAAGCTTAAACAAAAAGTTGGTTCAGCCGAAAGATCTAGTCTGTCCTCCAAAAGGGAGGTGGGTTCCAATTGGACTGTCTCCAAATGTGGAAACTATCAGCAAGGGTGGTTTCTCTTGGCTTTCCTTTGAAACATGCCCCAGAGAGTACACAAAACAAGGACACATCCAAGTGGGGGTGTCTTACTTGTGGTGGTACGTTTAAACGGAAACCACAGGGAAAACGAACATGTTGGGTCCCTAGAAAAAACAACCACCAAAAAAACAAACAAACGGCCATGATCCCCCGATACTGATCACCCAAATGGAAACCACGACGCAAGTCCCATTTGAGTGGTACCTTTAATTAGTGGAAATCACGGCGAACTCCGTTGCTAGCTGGTGGTTGGAAGCCGCAGTATGTTGTCGTTACACATTGGAAAGGGGACGTGGGCATGCGTCAAAGTGCCTCAACATGGCGACTATCAAAGCATATGCGCCACGGATTTGCATCAGGTGCCCAAGATGCATGCCATGTTTTTCTCATGGACATACCCCACCCTCTAAGAATAAAATCTGATTTTGTTGAAGCGATCTTTTCGCGAGCCGAACACAGCACTCCCATGTCAGGAGCCTTCCGCATCGTCCAGCCAGCGAAGCGCTGAGCGGACCTATGGCGCGTTGCGGTCTTTTTGCCGAGGGGTTTTCCTTTGAAGATCGCCTACACAGGTAAAATCAGCTAGCAGAGTTTACTGGCTGGATGTTCTATTGGGGAAGTATCGGGAACCCTTGGGTAGATGACAGTGGATCCTCTCCTTTGACCAACTTCCTACCTATAAAAGTCCCCCTCAACCTACCCGCAGTTGCTCAACAGCCGTTTCCCGTTTTGCTCGATCAACCTTGTCAACCCCAAAGAGAGTTTGTTTGCTCCACAGAGAATCGCTTCTAGTACCAGAATACAAGTTACCAAAAATAAAATTATTCTGGCGCCGTTGGGCAATTGGGTACCTGAAAGAACCTCTCAAATTCTAACAGGCCAGTTTAGGTGGTTCTAATGCCTAGTTTAACGAGAATTGCAGTAAAGGGTGTCGGCGTATTTTTTCAGGGTACTCACAAACCAGCCATTTCGAGGTCTCCTGTTTTGACACAAGCAACCATATGGACTTAGGGTACACTCGAAAAGTTCAGAACCCAATAGATTTCATTATAACATAATGTTAGAATCAACAGTCAGCTCATGTCAGCTCGAATTGGTCTGTGTCGGTCGCATGCGCCAGCCTGTCGCCTCAGGCTGGCGGTGGGAGGCAGCATTGCGGCCAGCGCTGCAAATAGTGTGGGCGATGCGCAGGCGGGCGAGAAAGCGCTGAACCACGACAGACTGCCCGGGGGGGGGGGGGGCCGGTTGGTGTGTTTGTGTGTGTTTGTGTGTGTTTGTGTGTGTGTGTGTGTGTGTGTGTGTGTGTGAGCTTGCGCGCGCGCGCGCGCGCGTGTGTGCGTGTGTGCGTGTGCGGGTGTGTGTGGGTGTGGGTGTGGGTGTGGTGTGTGTGTGGGTGTGTGTGTGTGGGTGTGGGTGTGGTGTGTGGTGTGTGTGTGTGTGTGTGTGTGTGTGTGTGTGTGTGTGTGTGTGTGTGTGTGTGTGTGTGTGTGTGTGTGTGTGTGTGTGTGTGTGTGTGTGTGTGTGTGTGTGTGTGTGTGTGTGTGTGTGTGTGTGTGTGTGTGTGTGTGTGTGTGTTTGTTGCAAATTGAAAAGGCATGATGGGCCGGGTTGTTTTTAGAAGGATCCTCTTGTGAAATATGACAAGTCATCCATAGATAGGAATCGAACCAACACGTGAATGTGGCCCCCTAGAAGAAGGGTGCCCCTTTTTGTGGCTTTTAAAGGAATTTCAAAAGCAAAACCATGGATCATATTATTGTTATTGTTTTGGGGGCGTGGAGGCGGGGGCGACCCTAAGAAAAGACAAGCCCAGTTTTCCTTTAACAACTCTTTTGGGTTCCATATGCGTCTTTGGGCGGGTAGTGGGAGGGTAACTACCCACCTTCCCCTCCCGCTCTCGGCGCGGAGAAAATGTACCTCCAGAATGGGACTCCCCTGTGCAAAAGTCGGCAGATTCCACCGCTTTGGACCAATGAGGATAGCCAAGCTTGGCCTCCAGGTGGGAGCCCTGCGGTGTGAGATCGAAGGTCGGGAGCTAAGGGGAGCCATGTGCCTTCCCTTTTTGGGCTTCGGTCTGGGCCTTTCCTTTCGGGTTCCATGCCTCAAACTTGGTCCGGGGCATTTCGTTGAGCTCAAGTTACTTTTGGGTTGTGTTTCCCCTTGAGCGCGAGGTGCAGAAATTCCCTGCCGTTTTGTCCCTGGCCAAAACCCTAAGTCGAGTTCACTCCTGCGGGGCCATTTGCCGAGTGCGAGCAATGGACCCAGTCAAAGGCAGCGCATTGAGCTTGGGGCTCGATACTTTGGCTCGATACTTTGTACTCGAAACACATCTCGGGAAAGACTCAGTTTTACCAAAGATGAGTTGTGTGTTTATGGGGAGTTTTTGGTGGTAGTGGTATTTGCACGTACCATTCGCATTAAGTTCAGTACCCTCATTTCTTAGTAAGCTAAGTTGGTACCCTCACTTCAGTACTCCCCATTCTTCTTTCCGATCTACAGGGTTCCCAATGTTTATCTTGTGGGTGTTTCATTCCGTTAAGGGAGCTAGATACACACCTGCAGCCAACTTGGCAACCCAACAAGCTCCCCGCCCCTCCCCCAAAAAAAAATCCTGCAAAGATTTTGCTGGGTTCTATGTTATTTTGTTTTTCAGTTCAAGCAACCCTATTGTAGTACCCTCAATTTGGTATATACTCGACATGTGTGTGTGTGTGTGTCTCAAAACTGACCCAGGACCCATTTTTGGAGGGAGGAACACCTTCATTAGCACTTGCGAAGGAATCAACCTTGGCGATTCCCAGCCTCACTCTTAGACGTTTAGCTCTTGGGTTGCGAGGGATACCAAAGTTTTGGTTGTTTTTTGCAAGGGACCCACGACCCCACTCATTGCCTCATGCCAGGGTTGTGCCACAGCGCATGGGTTGAAATTGGTTTCCTGTGGTTGGCCTTTCTGCAGAAAGCCCCCCGCATGATTGTTTCTGCTCCGAGGTCTTCGGAGAACCTTTTTTGTGGTGATCCAAAAGGTTATCAACAATAACTTGCCCAAAGGACCAGTTCGGGGTTTTGCAAAAAGGTTGATGTTCTATTTTTGGTTGCAAGTAAGTCAACACCTTCCGGTTGCCCTGTTCTTCTCACGACTCCAGATCCATGGCTTTCCTGTACAAGGAGGGAACGAAAGTGGCATATATGTTCGAGCAATTCCACTGATGCGGGGTCAAAACGAGTGAAAGACCAGTCTAGGCCCTTGCTTGGGGAAACCACTTCCGACGTCAGATGTTGGAATGATTGTGGAATTTGCGGATAGGATTCCTACAGGGGCAAACCACTACGGGGCGAACAAATTGCAGATGCCTCTCCTATGCTCAGGACTTCATTTTCGAGTATCTGTCGCGCCCGCAATTCCATTCTAATTATCAAAGTAAGGGCCCTTATATATCAGGTTATAACCCTTGATTGGTGATTTGGATTCGTGGTTTGGGGATTTGAACTCCTGGCTGTTGCAGAGGGTTCATGGGAAGCCCTTCCTTAACCACCAAATCACCAATCCAAACCACCAATCAGAGTGAAGCTGATTGTTGTCCCTAGTATACAGTTAAGCACCCCCTGAGAATCAAATGTCATGCACCACGGACTGCCCCAAATCTGCCCTCACATGCGTAGGAACCGAAGCCTGGGCACGTAGCGAGGTAGCATCCATATGCTTCAGGATATTTGGCTTGTTTCCTGTTGCTAAAGGAAATCGCCGTGATTGGGTAAATACAAGGGAATGGTCGCAATTTCCCCCCCCACCCAAAAGATGATGGCGTTCCCACCTTCACTGCGAAGACGATATTTGGGCACAGATTTCGCTCACCGCGTATATTGTTGTTCGCTTCAAAAATGCATTGCCAGACAACAGGCTTGCCTTTCTATTTTGCCCTTTGGTCTCTTGCAATTACCCTTTCAACCAGCAAAGTCTTCACTTTTGCAGGGACCAGTTTGGTCTCAGTCTGGCGGGGGCCCCAGATATAAGGACTCAAGTCAATGCTCGTTTTTGTGCATCTTATGCTGGTGACCTCTTTAGTTGAAATAAACATCCCTCAGTTTAGCACCTCTCAATGATTGAGCAAAGAGATACTCTTAACTTAGGACGCCTTCAGTTGACAGTGGTTATCCTTCAGGTTGTAGTGCGTAAGCCAAGTTAGCGCCCTCAAGTAAGTATCCCAGCATGGGCGTTGGTAGCTGCTGACACGCTTTTTGCGCGAAAGCCAAAAGCCATGCAGAAGAACCCGCCCTACGAGAAGTGGAAGGCCAGGTTGGGCGATTCACGGCCTTTAAGCCATGTTTGAAATCCAAATTACGCAGTTCTCCTTTGTTTCCCCTCCAACCACACACGCATATAATACACACCCACACCCACACTTGCACCTACCCACGCACTCACACACCAAGCACACATGCACAACCGCACGCAGGCACGCACAACGCACGCACGCAAGCTGGCACGCACGCACCCACACCTACACACGCATACACCCACACCCACACACCCACGCACCCATGCAGCCACGCACCCACGCACTTACGCACCCACGCACCCACACCACGCCACACACACACACACAAGAAACACATGAACGCAAACACCACACACAAGACGCACACGCGCACGCGCACGCACATGCACACGCACACGCACAGGCACACGCACACGCACACGGACACGCACACGCACACGGACACACACACACACACACCCACACCCACACCCACACCCACACCCACACCCACACCCACACCCACACCCACACCCACACGCACACGCACACGCACACGCACACGCACACGCACACGCACACGCACGCGCACGCACGCACGCACGCACGCACGCACACGCACGCACGCACGCACGCACGCACGCACGCACGCACGCACGCACGCGCGCTCGCACGCGCGCCGCGCGCACGCGCACGCCGCACGCGCACGCGCACGCCGCACGCGCTCGCACGCGCACGCGCACGCGCACCGCGCACGCGCACGCGCACGCGCACGCGCACGCGCACGCGCACGCGCACGCGCACGCGCACGCGCACGCGCACGCGCACGCGCAGCACGCGCACGCGCACGCGCACGCGCACGCGCGCGCACGCGCAACGCGCACGCGCGCACGCACGCACACGCGCACACGCGCACACGCGCACACGCGCACACGCGCACACGCGCACGCGCACGCGCACGCGCGCGCGCGTACACGCGCGCGCACAGGCGCGCACGCGCACGCGCGCACCCGCCGCGCACCACGCGCACCCACGCGCACCCCCCTCTCACCCCGCTCGCGCACCCCCCGCGCGCGCACCACCCGCGCACCCGCGCGCACCACCCGCGCGCACCACCCGCGCACCACCCGCGCACCACCCGCGCACCACCGCGCACCACCCGCGCACCACCCGCGCACCACCCGCGCACCACCCGCGCACCACCCGCGCACCACCCGCGCACCACCCGCGCACCACCCGCGCACCACCCGCGCACCACCCCACCCGCGCACCACCCCACCCGCGCACCACACCACCCGCGCACCACCCCACCCGCGCACCACCCCACCCGCGCACCCGCACACCCGCATACCCGCACACCCGCAGACACCAGCACACCCGCACACCCGCACACCCGCACACCCGCACACACGCACACACGCACACGCACACGCACACACGCACACACGCACACGCACACCCCACGCGCACGCACACGCAAAGGCCCACGCACACGCACACGCCCCCGCCCCCGCCACCTCCCCCGCCCCTGCGCGAACACGCGCACGCACACGCACACGCGACCGAGACACACACGCACACACACACACGGACTGAACAGAGCAGAGCAGAACAAACATAATAGCACATACAGGCCCCCATTTTAACCCAGTCCTGGGAGAGCAGGATGGTCAGTGAATAATTAAGTAAACAGGACTCAGAGCGAGCCAGCGCTGAGACGCCGCGGAGTTGCAAAACGTCTCGGGAACCTCAAGCAAATACCTCACGCAAGAAGCTACTTCAATCTGGGTGAGCCCTCAAGCTGCCCACTTTGGAAGCTGCTCAAGCAGGTCCGTTTCAAGCACCGATACTTCAAATGCGATTGACAGTTCCAACACGTGAAAGGCCGGTCAAGCACGCTGCAAGCTAGTAGGTTAGGGCGAGATTGGATCTGATTTCCCCAAGCATTCGCCCGCCCGGTTAGGCCTCGGAGCTGCGGCTGCCGGTGGCGCAGCAAGCCTTGGGCTTCCTCTCCGCGGAGCTTAAGGAGGCCTTGGCCCGAGGTGCGGCGGGTGGGGAGGTTGTCTTCAAGCGCAGTTGACAATGCTTCACAGGCAAGAACCGCACTGTTTTTTTCCTCGAAATGTGTTCGTTTCTCAGAAATCTGCTCGATTGTAGTCAATGTCCCAATTCGACAAAAATAAGTGACTGCTTGACGCTGCAGGTCACTTGTTCTACTCAACCTTCCGGGCCCCAATTAATACTCCATGTCAGCCCAGTCGACTCATCAAGCGATGCTGGCAGTTTGAACCCCATGTGGAAGCTTGTTGGGAGTATCAGTTGATATCAGTGGAACTTCAGAGTATGGAGGGGAGTGGGGGATGTTGGAGGCTGGGAGGTTGGGAGTCAAAGAGGCTTGGGTGATTGACCCAGGTTCTAAGCCATTGAGCCCCATTCGGGAGGTCACCTCCATTTCCATGCCCTTTTCCTCTTTCCATTTGAAGATCAACCAGCCAAGAAAAGGGTCCGTGGAGGGAAAAATCGAGGTGGTTTAGGATTACCAAGTTCTTTGGGTAGGAGGGTGCTGGCACCAATCTCCCCGAGTGCTTTCACGTAGTGCTTGTTGGGAAGAGCAAGTTAGCGGCAAAACGCTGTGGCCTTCTTCGGCCACTCCATACAGAGCAAGAGCAACCCCAAGAAAACCAGCAACAGGGCTCCCCTTTTGGCCTTCAGCATTTGTGCCTTGTTTAAAGCCAGAGGCTCATTTCTTCGGGTGACTTGCGGCCTTCCCTTTCCCCAAGGCTTGGGTTTCCCGAGTCGGGCGCAAGAACCGACTTTTGCCTTTCAGGTCTGAGCTGTGAGCCTCCCAAGCCCGAGCCCGGCGAGCCCGGCGAGCCGCCCGGCGAGCCTCCCGCGGCGGCGCGACACCGCTTCGACGTGGCCCTCAACACGTGGCTCGACAGAAGCACCGGCCTCCCAGAAGTTCGGTGCCCTTTTGACGGCATTCGGAAGACTTGCGGCTCCCATGGGCATCCAGGGCTCTGGGTTGGTGCTGGTGATTTTCCACGATGCGACTCAGACTCCCCTGAAAAGTCCGTCTGGGCTCATCGTTGGAAACTGTTGGCCCGTCCATGTTGGTAAATTCGCCCTAGTCCTTCAGGTTTCCGACCCTTTCCTGAGGGGTTGGGCGGGCCTTGGCTTCCTCTTACATTGGGTTGGTGCACAACCAGCCCTGCGCTGCAGAATCAAGCTGTTGTTTGGTTGGGTTTCCGCCAACAACAAAATCTTTTCGGGGTGGGTTTCCCGTCAAAATCCATCAAAACAAAGGATGTCCTTTTTCCACATCCGCCGGAGGCCGAGGGGCGGAGCCTATCTACAAGACAAGTGCCCTTCTTGTCTTCTGCATTTCTTTGGGACAGGGTGAGTCCCCCAAATGCATCGCTGCGTCAAACAGACACTGTGCCAAGCATCAAAGCAAACCCCACTTCCTTTGCCGGTTTCTGTGGCTGGGGATCTGGGATCGCCATTAAATGTTTTTTCCACCACCATTTATTGGGTTGTATGGTCCCTGAAAATGTGAGAGGGGGACCCCCTCAGCGTGGGTATTTTCCATGTCTGTAAAATTTGCCCGGCTGGGGTTCTCAGCTTATTTTAGGGGCTTTCTTTTGAAACGACCATTTAGAAGGTTTTTTTGAGATGTCAAACAACCACTTGGGCATCATACCAAGGGGTGTTTGGCAACCATCCATCGGATCTTTAAACAGAATAATGCTCAGACCATTTCATATTGGGATGTGTCAAAACACAAAGACCCAGCAAATGGCTTCGGTTTTCCTGTTGGTTCCCTTGCGTAAAACCACCCCAAACACGCTAGCGAGCCTGAAAAACAAAAGACGGATGTGTGTTTTTGGTGGGTACCCGTTTTGGTTTTACTGGGACAGCAAGAGGAACAACAACTCTCTTTTTTTTGGGGGGGGGTCCCTAAAAAGATCAGACCCCATTCTCCTCGCAGGCTGCTGAAGTCCGGCGCGGACGAGCCCACCGCGCAGGCGTTGCTGGGCGCCATCCGCCGGCAGCTGCCCGCGCTCAAGGCGCCGCAGGCGGCGACGTTGCTGCGGCGCAGCTTTCGGCACAAGGCGCGGCGTGCTGCGTGCCGCCGCGCCGCTTCGCCGGGGCAGCTTTAGTCGCTTTTGAGCCTTCGGCTTTCCCATTCTCCAAAGGGTCCCGGAAGATCCGGTTAAAGTTCCAGATGTTCGCCATCCGGCCGAGGCCCAAGTTGCATCCCCAAAACAATTTTAGGGACCACAAGCAACCTTTTGGGAAAAAAATCGATGGCCCTGGTAAATGGAATAAAACCCATCCAAACCAGTGCCATCTATTTTTAGCCAAACGAACCTAAAAAGGACACCTATGTTAGGGCCCCAGCCCCCCAAAACGCCTGGCTTAGGGCGCTGAGGTGAACTCCTTGCGTTGCCTCGGCCGGCGCGTGCTGGAGCAACTGCTGGGCATCCAGGTGGAGCCTTCGGAGCGGGCGCGCAAGCGCCGCAAGACGGGGCGCGAGGAGGAGAAAGGAGGGCGCCGTTACGCGGCGGACGAAATCTGTGCACCCAAAACAACAAAACGAGCACTTGTTATGGGTGTGTCTTTTTTTAGGGGTCCCCCGACATGGCGGGTTCTCCTTTTGGTTTCCGATTGAAACTACAAAAACGGGTGCCCTTCAAAAAGGACAACCCCTTATGTTCAACGGCAGATACGTTTGCTCCGTTTGCCGCGCGCATGGCATTTGTCAACTCCTAAGGCCTGCGGGCGGAGCTGGATGCGCTCAAGTCGCTCCTGGATGAAGGTGCGATCCGGATGCGTTCCTCAGTCTGCCGAAGGCAACTTGGGTTGTAACCGGCGAAGTTTTTTGAGTGGTTGGTGACTGGGCGATGACCCACTTCTAAGTCTCCTTGAGGGTGCCCTTTTAGAAGTTTAGCACCCAGTTCAAAACTGATTCACTCGGTAGAAGTGGAAGTGGCAACCGAACACCCTAGGACAAATCTGGGACTCTGACATTCATCCCTCAGCTAACTTTTTATGTGGGTCTAAAATGGGACAACCCTAATTGCAATGTATTGTTCGTGGGTTCCCACCACAGATCCTTCAAGAGCGTCGAAGGGGTTCCCTTTACCTTCCGAGTCCTGACACGAGTCCGGGGCGTATTCCAGTCTTTGAAAGGGTACTTGGATGTTCGGCCAAGTTGTGGTTAGCCACTTGGGGTATGCCTACAATTATCAATCTAGCCAAAAAAGGAAACGACCAGACCAGAGTAAAGCGTTGTTGTCTGATTCACCCAACCCCCCCGAAGTGGCAGCGTGCTCATGCCGGGCCGGGCCGCTGTATCGTGAGCAGCGAACCAGGCGCTGCAAGCAGCGTCTTCGAGCAGAACCAACCTGGGGTCTCCTAGGAGCGTGTTTTTTTGTTTTCGTTTTGGCTAAATGCTCAGGTTGGCTAAATATGAGAACACACATCAGAAGATATTTGTTTGGTGTATGGCCAAGGAACTTGATGCTTGCATTTTGATTCCGCAGAGCCACACAACCAATCGTTTTGAGGAACCAGCATGTCCCGGGTCTTTGGCGTTTTCCCGAAAAGACGGATCTCGAAATTCAATAGGGAGGTTGAAAGTACTGGACAAGAACTACATGGACTGTTCTCGCCGCGCCCTTGCCCCCTAGGGCGAAGCACCTGGCGTCGGAAGTTCGGAGTTGCAATCGGAATGCGTGCAACGACCCACAGGAGACTGACAACCTGGTGCTAACTCGACCACAACGTTGTTCATCGAAGCCCAAAGGGGATGGAACCTGGAATTGTTTGTGCTTTGGGAGCAGGCCACCCAGGCGGCACAACAGGCCAATTCGGTGAAGCCAATATATAGCAAACCAAGCCACAAGGCCACAAAGCACAAGAGGCAGCAAAAAGAATCGCGCCCTCTGCAGCACAACCTCATTTCTCAATGTCCAAGATATGGCCAGCTGAAGCCTGGTTTCACCAGCTATGGCCCTTTCAGCCCATGGTTTCACTCCCCAACTTCCCCCCCCCCCCCACCGCATCCGATCCCCGGCCGTGTTTCTCATGGCGCGGATCGCGCGGCGGGGCCTGCGGTTGGGGAACCTGCCGCTCTTCAGCCTGGGGCAGCCCTGGTCCTCCGTGGTGCGCCTCGGAGCCATCGGGGAGACCGACGGGTCTGGTGTCTGGAGGCCCTGTCTTGGTTGGGTTTTTGGGGGCTCCTGGGCGGATTTGTTGGATCCCCCAAAAGGGGGCAACGGTTTCCTTTTGTTTTTTTGGTTGAAACCACCAAACAACAGGTACCCTCCAAAAACGACACCCCTATGAGTGGACCGAAAGCTGAGAACGTTTGCATATGAAGGGGTAACAAGGGTTTTCCTGGTTTAGGGTTGAGGGTTGGCTGAGTTTGGTTGAAGAAAGCGCTGTGTCAAGGCAAACGGTGCGATATCTTCAGCTTGAATGTGCTCGCCTGTTTTCTGGGTTTCGAGCAGATCAATTGGGGGCTAAAACAAGCAAATGTTGGTCCTTTGCTTGGGGGGACCCTTCCTCCAGGTGTTGCAAGTTCTTGTAGAATGTGCAGGTTTATTCAACGAGTCTCCTATGATAATGTTCCTGGCGGTTGCCTACCCTACCCACAAATTTTCTGATTTGCGGGCGGGATTGTCTTCTGCTGGAAGCTCAAGTCATTTGAGCAATGGACAAAAACAATCCGGGCGTCAGTTTCCTGTGGGCCATCCTATTTCTGTTTTACCTTTTCTTCCACACCTGACAGGGGGTCCCTTCAAGAGACTATTGATCTTCCAGGTAACCCTCCCACAGTTCGCAGTTGCCATGTAGCGGAGGGAGGGGAAAAGAAAGCTTGAGAAACATCAATGATAGGCAGCAAGCTCATCTCTGAAACAGACTTTAGGGACCACACAACTTTCTTAGGGCCCTCTTGAACAGGGGTCCCTTAACTTGGTGGTTTCTGCAGGGGTTCCCGGAGGTTTTAGGTTTTAGTTGGTTTAGTGTTTGGGGTTTCCAGTTCACCCACTACCAAGTTAAAGTTTGAGCAGGGAGCTGAGGACAGCCGCCCTTGATATGTTCCCTTGTGATTTTTAACATCAGCACCTATGGCCCCTTGGTGATCTTCCCGTGAAAGTCCCATGGTTGTTTTCTACAAACGGTAAGCAATCAATTGCAAATGAGTTCCAGTAGGGACCCTTGTGGCTTGAAAGCAATGAGTTGTTCAAGATATGACAAAAAAGAAGCACGCAAGCGGGTATGTGTCAAAACTGGGGGACCCCAAGAGTGGTTGTCCATTTGGTGTAGCACGCCTCAGCATACGCGCATACCCGACACGCAGAGAGACCCAGTGGCCCAGGCAGAAAATTCAAACAGACGCCACATTTAGACGTACCAAGGCCTGCTTGCCCGGGCTGCCTTTTAGGAGACCCTTGTATAGTTCTAGGGGTTGATTCCCCCAGTCTTTTCAGCCATCCTTCTTTTCAAAGAGCAACCATTTCCCCAGGGTGTTTGTGTTTGGTGGTTTTCTAGAAAGAAGGATCCCTGAAAAGAATGGCTGGAAGTTACCCCTAGAACAGAAGCCCACTTTGCACGTTTTGAACCAGGTTGGGCCTCAGGGAATGACCCCGAACTGAACCATCCCTGATCCCTAGGATCTTCCCCGGGTTCACTCCCAAAAGTCCCACAAGCGACCGCTTCGGAAGTTGCCTGAGGAACGCAGAGGGAAAGCTGGTCCTGAGCCTCTTTGAGCCCCGGTATGTGGCCGGGCACCCAGGTTTTGCTGTTCGACGTTTCAATCGCCAACAGAGTTGGTTTGGCACTGGACATTTCAACACACACCTCAAATCTGGCATCACTTGGGTGTTTCTCTACGGGACACCCACAAAAGAGTGGTGTCCTTTTGTTGTTCCCTTAAACCAGCGATTTTCAAGGAAAAGGGCTGAAGGATCCCTAGATTCATTCCCAAACCCAAGGTGATTCCCTACGAAAATGCTAAGTACAAGAGAGTGATGCCAGAGTTGAGTCAAGGAAACCCTTGTTCTGGTTGGCGGAAACCCATATTCCCAAGGGGGGCGAAGTGGAATCTACTAAGAGTCAGGGGGTTTGGTTCAAGCATTGTAAGGGTTCCTGCTGGGCTACATGTGACGCAAGGTTCCAGGGGCTCACCGAAAACCCCACCCACTACAACAACCTGACAGTTTTTTTGGTAGCTTCGGCCAAATTGTCCCTAGTTGACTTTCTGCTCGGGAAAGGATCAATTGGCAGCAGGCTTGGAACAGCATGTCATCCAGTCCGCGCTACCCGTGGCGAGCTCTGGGTGAAACGAGCTCACCCCTCAAGGTCCATCCTCGCCGGACCCCTCAATTCTTGCTGAGTGAGTTTCAGAGACTACGGAGTCTAGGTCCTCCAGTAGTGCCCTTCTCTTCCCGTTTTAGTAGGGGAGGGTTCCCCTACTAAAATAGACTACATCCTTCTCGCAAGCCCTTCCAAAAAGACGCACGTGTGTGAGTGTATGTTGGTGGGAGGATGGCCTTTCTTCTGGCTCCAAAATGTGATAATGGGAACCCGGGATTAATCCCTGTTGATGAATGGAAGGTGTCCCATTCAGGGGAAGCCTCGTCTTGTTTGGGGAACCCACCCTGCATGTTTTTTATTAACTACTCGCCAGGTTGATGAACCAGGCTCGACTTGTGTTCTACGCCATGGTGTTTACATCGATGATTGCGGTGTGGAATTGGTTGCCGTTTTTTTTTTTTTTCTTTCTTTCTTTTTTTAATGTTGTTGGTTTACCTTTTTTTTGTTTTTGTTTTCGTTTTTCCACTCGGACAACCAAAAGGAACACCGCTGCGCCCGTTGCGCCCATCGATTTTGAACCAGATGAGTTCCCTCGAGTGATGCTTGGGCACTGTGTTGGTGGCTAGAAGGGACGAGGGTTCCCTTTTTAGCAAAGCGAAGGGTACCCTGCGTAGAAACCCTCAAAAGGGTCCCTTGGATGTTCGGCCAGGTCAGCAAGTGGTCTGCCACATGGGTTAAGCCCCCAAAAGCAAGGACCCGACTGACCGGGGGACTTATCAGTGGGGTAGCCTCTAGGTCCCCAACAAAACTTACCAGCCGAACACCGAAGTATGTTTACCCACCAATTAACATGGAACCTGACAGATGGTTCCCCAGAGCATTTTCCTTTTAAAGGGACCTGTCAGGTTCCATGTGAATTGGTGGGTACTCCGTGGCGTCGGCAAAGCCTGGGACGCGGTCGCCGCTCGCCTCGCCAGGAGGTAGCCCAAAGGCTGCTCGCTCCGGGCGGCAGCCGGCGCTTCGGCTATGCGGAGCACCTCGGAGTCAGGGCGAAGAGGGATTTGAGCGTGTTTGTTTGTTTTGTTTTGTGTGTGCATGAAGGGTAACCTTTTTCAGGTTTTGTTTCAATCGGAACCAAAGGGGAACACCACCATTTTGAGCGCCCCAAGAAAAGACACGCCCATGTCTTAAAGGCCGGTTTTAAGCATCATTTTTTGGGCCGAGTTCAAAACGTGAGTTTCACTGTGGCGGGGTGATGCTAAGAAGACATAAAGACATGCTCCTTGCGCTGGTGAATTTGGCACACCCAATGTCAATATGGTCCCCTTTTTTGGGTTGACTTGGCTTTGGATGGGTGAATCATAATTCACCCCAGATCAATGTGAATTTGGCGACGATTCTTAACAAGGAACCACCTCTCGAGGGGGTGATTGATGGACTCCACCAAGAATTGCGAATCACAATTCTAAAAAAAAAAGAACAAATCGCCTCAAC